TTTTCAGTGAAAATTTAAAGGCACTCCAGTAGAGATGGTTGGGAAATGTCTAAAGCATATATGAGAGGTTTCTTCATACAAAAATAAATAGAGAAAAAGAAAAAAGAAGGAAAGGGAGCTGCGATTGCAAGAAGACATATGTAAAAAAGTAAAAGAACTGAAAAATTATCCTAGAGATAAGAAGTTAAATCAAGGTTAAAATGCTTCAAAAACAATTAGATATAATAATGCCAGTGGAAATTGAGAAAAAAACTCTCTAAACAATTTTTTTTTAACATTCCAATAGACCGGGGAAATGGTTAGCATACTCCTTGAGGAAAATACAGGAGAGAAAATTGATATTAAATATAAAAGAAAAAGGAGAAATTATAACTAATCAAAATAGAATTAAAATTTTGTTTCACAGCTTCTACTTGGATCTATTCAAGGAAAAACCCATATCACAAGAAGAAAAAGAAGCAATGTTGAAATACCTTGATAATGAGGGAATTCCACAAATCACAGAAACTCAAAAGATTTAGATGCCCCTATTTCCATAACTGAAGTAATTGAAGCCATAAAAAAGAAAAAAAAAACTAGGAAAACCACCAGGACCTGATGGCTTCATGCCCAGATATAAAACAATGGAGGATTGTCTTTTATTACCTCTCCATAGGGTCATATAAATTTTAACTATAAACTCTAAACCCAATTAATGGGTCGAAGCATTAATTACAATGATCCCAAAAGAAAACATCTTAGAAATTAAAAATTATAGGCCAATTTCATTATTCATTATTAAATTTGGATTATAAAATCTTCATATCAATTTTAGCAGAAAGAGTCAAAATATTACTAAAAGAGTGGATCCAGGAAGACCAGGTGGGGTTCTTAGCAGGAAGACAAATTAAAGATAATTTAAAAGTAGTATTAAATCTAGAATTTTATGAAAAACACAATGAAAAGAAACTAGTCATGGTCTTCCTGGATGCTGAAAAGGCCTTTGATAATGTTAACTGGAATTTTATGTTAGCAGTTTTGGAGAAAATGGGATCAGGCCCAAAGTTTATAAATTGGACTAAGACACTATATAGTGTACAAACAGCAAAATGGAGAAAAAACACCTGCTTTCAAAAAAAGGAAGTTCACCAGACAAGGTTGTCCCTTATCCCCTCTGCTCTTTTTAGTAGTTATAGAAATTCTGTTAGAAAAAATAAGAAAATATGAATTAATAAAAAGCCCCATAATAAAAGGGTATATGTATAAATTGAAGGCATTTGCAGATGACATTGTTCTCTTTTTAGGTAACCCAGGACAGAGCCTGGAAAGAATAAATAAAACCCTAAAAATTCAGAAATTGGTCAGGTTTTAAAATAAATAAAGATAAAAGAGCCATTTTAACTAAAAATATAGGGATAAAAGAATAAATAATATTGGAAGAATTATCAAACTATAAAGTACAAAAAGTGGTAAAATACCTGGGAGTAAATATATCAAAGAAAAACTCAGACTTATTTAGTATAATTATAAAACATGCTGGAGTAAAATACAAAGTGACTTAACGAAATGGAATAAATTAGGACTTTCATTATTGGGCAGAATAGTGGCTTTTTGTATTGTGCTTTTTGTTTGTCATCTGTTGCATTTCCTAAACTAATCTAGGGTACAAAAATCAGAGAGGTTATCAAGCCATATATGGCAGGTGCATTATATCACACCTGATGGCTCACAAAGTGTGGAGAGATGGTATAAATGGGAGCATATATGTGCCTTAGCAAAAGAAAAAGTAATGATACAGTCATGAAGATGTTGCAAGTGTGTACCTAGGTCACAGTCTAAACTGTGTGGAGAAATTTTGGCAGCAAAAGTGATAACTGAATAAGTCTTAATTAACAACAACAACAGAACATTTGTCTCATTCATGTTTACAACAAATGCATGTAGATATTTTCCTTCCATGCTACAGTGTGTTAGTTTGTAAATACAATATTATACTGCTCATGGAAGTAAACTGCAAGGAAACTGCAGTTACAAAGAGAATGTCGATAGCTCAGTGACAGAGAACATTAGTTACGTGCAGGTCACAGTTTACCAAAGATGTAATTCTCTTTAATTAAAATCAATAACTTGGTTCCAGTCTCTGGTCAGGATCTAACCTACTGTTTTTATTGTGTTATTATAATATCTGGATCCCCCATCACATAAAATGAAATGAAATGAAGAAAATTCAGACTGTTGTAAAATGTGTCCCTTTAAAAAGATTGAAATGAACCAAGATGTTTATATCATAAAATCCAATAAAATGTGTATTTTAATAAAGCAGTAAAAATAAAACCAACATACTCTGATAATGAAAACATCCAATGCAGCTCTAAAACAGAATTGCATTTCAAAACCAAGTGCAATAAAAAAATACTCAGAAAAAGGACTGCATGGGCCAAATAAACTGGACTTCCTATATGCTCCAGATCATCCCAGAAGATTTAGAGCCCCCCATTCTATCACTGGGCAACTGTTTGAAATGTGTCCTGCTGTGTCATCTGGCATGGCCACAGTGGTGGTGGGTTGCTCACTCTGAGGTCAGATGAGGCACCTATTTATGTGATTGATGCTGGATGCCTTGTTCTGACCTCAGGATTGAGTGACTCACCATGACCACACCAAGCAGCACAGTGGCATGCCAGTGTGAACAGCCACCTGGTGTTGGAACACAGGCCTGAAGTAACGGGAGGGGGGTACCTTGGTCAGGGCAGACAGGACTTCTGTTAACAGATATATCTTTTGGGTCTTCTTTAAAAGTTTGTGATAGTATGGTCTGATACAAGCTCAGAAGTTAAAGAGATGGTGCCACAACATAGCAGCTATGTGGCCATTAGCTATGCTGGCTGGAGATTTCAAGGTAAAAAAACCTGAGTAGCAACCTTTTTTTTTTTTGCGATATCCTTGTGGAACAGGTTTGTTGTTGGTGGAATAAAATCAGGACTCACAGGGTTAAAGGGTGCAACTTTTCAGATAGTAGAACCAATGGCCCAAACACACAGGGCAAATAAGCAGCTTTTTGCTGCTTTGGGGGCATGGTGTTCAAACAACGCATGTGCCCAAAGCATCTTGAAGCTGCTCTGATGCTGCACTCCTGTCCAAAGGACCAGAGCAAAAGACACCCCCCCCCATGAGTCGGGAGGGGTTTCTTGTTGTGCTGGCCAAATAAGGACATGAGAAGCCTGGTTGGTTAAAGCACACAGGGGAATGAGAACACCTGCGCACTTTGTCCAATTGGGTTGTTTAATTGCTACTCTAAGTTTCGCGGTGCTACTGGTCTCACAAGACTTGGGACGAGAGTTTGTTCTTTATAGGTCTGTGCTGCCACATGGAGGCAGCCATTTTTGAGCTTGAACTGAGTGAGTAACATCGCTTTGCTCTCTGCTCTGGCTTTGGCTTGGCTTGTGCCTAGCGCTTACTCATGGTCTTTGGCTGCGTTGTGGTCTTTTATGGATTTCTCTTCCTTTTACAAGCGGGAGTGTTCAGGTATCTTCCCTGAGCATCCTGGTGGACTGAGCGAGGCCTTCAGGCTGGTCCTCTGTGCCTGCTGGGGCCTTCGCATCCCCAATTCTTGGGGGGTTGTACACCCAAGGAGGGCCCTCCGTGGACCCAGTACTGGATACAGTCCCAGCGCCGCCCCGGCGACCCTGGTCTGGTAAAGTCGGGACCCCATCACTGCAGTTGGGAAGGTTGTTGAACTTCTCCCCAGCAGTGAGTGTGTTGGAAGACGGCTATCTTCAGTTTAGGGCTCCGCATAGGACCCTTGGTGGACACCTTTCCCCCTGGTTGGTTGCCAGTGACGCTTCCTGGCTGTTTGCGTCTCTTGTGAGACTTGAGAAAAGGCGGCCTTTTGGCCTAGTGGTAGTCATCCAAGGTTGGATGATTTTGCTTTGGCTTGTGTTCCATTCACTGGAGGAAGGATGTCATGCAGTAAGGCCCATTCTAAAAGGCATGCAGCTGCGGCTGCACCCAGCTTTGGTCAATCTGCTTTGAAGAGGCCTTCCCAATCTACCAGCAGAGATAATGAGATTACTGCCCAGTTGGCACAACTGGGCAAAACAGTTCAGGCTT